GGGCTCAAATGATCTTCCTGCTTCAGCCTTCTTAGGGAACCCAGCATTTAAAGTGACAGAGTCATTATTACACATACCCAGGACTTTTTTAAGAACAGTAATTTGAGGAGATTTTAAAATGTAAGTGTCTCCTATTCTTATATTTCATAACTGTTTTCATATGGGTATTTGTAAAATACTGCAGCAGTTAGTTAATCCAGGATATATTTAACTTTTTTCTCACTGTACATGTAATATGCCTGTCATTACTAAGTATCTTTATAAACATATTTTTATATATGGAACAGCAACAACAAAAAAGGAAAAAGAAAACAAAACCGTAAGCTGTGACTATAAATACCACTGTCAGATTTGAAACTTAGGTAAACCGGTGGCAAAGGTGGGAAAGAAAGGAAAAGGGAGAAACGAGTGCCAGCGTGACCAAGGTGAGGTCGGAACCTGAACAGAGAGAACGTGGACAAATGCGATCCTGCCTGATCTTCCTCGGGTATCACACAAGTTCCTGCTTCTCATCTGTGCCCTAGAAGGACATCTCCGGAATTGGAACTTGTGCTAAACTTTATGTTCAGACAACTGAATCAGAGCTGCCAGCTTTAGTGAAGAGTGTTGAGGAAAAGGCAGTGTCAGGGACCTTGGTCCAAGCAGTAGAAGTCACCTCCTAGTATCTCAAATAGGGGACGTGACTGGGGATGACTCATGTCCTGAAGAAGGGCTGTGGACCAGGCTTGCATGACAGTGGAGAAACCAAGGAAATTGGGAGGGCCGAGAGGCTGAGAAGCAGCAACTGTCTTTTCAGCAGTAGCAGAAGCAGCCGGGGCAGGATGCCACCTTCTGCTGCTGAGAGTGCTGTCTGCTCTGGATCCAGGCTCCTGGGAAAAGCACCCCGTTTGAGACGCCTAAGCCCAGGGCTGTGCTTGTGGGTGGATAGTTGTCACCTGTGGCTTTCATGCTAGGAAAGACACTGCATCAAGTCCACACACAGTAATGATTTCTCTGCCTTCTATGCGGACTGCAAAGTGAACTACCTCCAAAGTGGCCTGTCCACAAGTTTAGGAAAAGGGTGCCAAAAGTAGAAGCTACTGGCTAGCACAGGCTTGTTGGCCCTAAGAGCAGCAATCAAGAGGTCAACAGGATGTGACTAGTTTCCTGCTAACAACCTGAAGTGGCATAGAAGATCAAAGGAGAGTACTATCTCATGTCTCTTCACTTCCTATCTGTTTAGCCTCTCATCTCATCTACAGAGAAAATGAAAGGATGGTCCAGAGAGTGGCTGGAGGGGCAGCCTGGACTAAACTGCCTGTGTCTAGAGCAAACATAGCTTGTGGAGGTCTAGTGTAGCATTTATACTGGAAGGGTAATCATCTCGGCCCGCTACTCTTTCTGGGGAGTAGTGTGGAGTTCAGAATGAGCTGTGGATTAAAAGGTAAGAGGTTAAAAGGAGATGGATCTGAGAATGAAGCATCTTAGCTTTTAATTTTGCTTGACATACAATTCTCATCCAACACAATACACTTACTGAAAGTTTACCACTCAGTGCCATTCAGCGCATTTTTAGCACATTCACAGAGTTGCGAGCCAATACCACTCTCAATTTTTGAACATTGTCTTTATCTTCCCCCAAAACCCCACTTAGAAATCATTTCTCCCTTCCCCTCTGACTACAGTCTCCCCCACCACACACACATATACATTCTAAGGAACCTCTAATCTACTTTCTGTCTTTATAGATTTACCTACTCTGAACATTTTGCATGCATACAATATATGTCTAGAGGGAAAACGAAAGGATGGTCCAGAGTGTTGGCCTTTCTTTATCTGGCCTCTTTCGAGGAACATAATGTTTTTGAGAATCATTCAGGTTGTAACATGAATCCTTTTGATTTTCTTGAATATACACTTAGAAACAGAATTGCTAGGTCATGAGGTAACTCTGTAGTTAACAGTTTAAGACACTGTAGACTGTCTTCCACAACAGCTGAATCAACTGACACTCTTAATAACAGCATCTGAGGCAGGACCTGGCAGCAGTGCCTTCATACCTGCTAACACTTGTTATCATTTTTATTACAGCCATCCTAATGTGTATTAATCTCGAACATGGTTTTGATTTGCAGTTCTCTCATGGCTAATAATGTTGAGCATTCTTTTTTGCACTAATTGACCATCTGTATATCTTCTTTGGTGAGATGCCTATTCCAATCCAACTTTTGCCAACATTTAAGTTGGGTTACTTGTCTTTTTATTACTGAGCTGTAAGGATTCTTTATATATTCCAAATAAAAATGCCTTATCAGGTATATTGTGTACAAATATTTCTCCCAAGTCTGTATATTCTTTTCACTTTCTTAAGGTATCTGTTGAAATGCAGACTTTAGTTTTGATGGAATGTAGTTGATCTGTTTTTTCTTTTGTTGATTATGCTTTTGTTGTCATGTAAAAGGACACCAAGATTTTCTTCTGAGAGTGTTGTAATGTTTGCCTTGGAACTTGGATGTGTCATTTATTGTGAGGCTTTTTTGTGTGTGTATCTGAAGTAAAATAAGGGGTTCTTAATACTTAAGAAGAAAGAGTGAGTAGCATTCATCATTCATGCTCACTTTGAACTATACTTTCCAGAGGACTGGACTCAGATTCTGTTTTCTTTGTTGTCCTTTAAATTATTTTAGCTGTTAGATTTTACAATTATGATTGCTTAATCAAATTATGATCTCAATTTACCGCTTTCATATAATGCACAAGGAATAGTTTAGAGTGGAAATCTCTAATGGCATAAAAAACTATTTGATTAGATTTACTTCACACTGGGCCAAATAATCTGTACTGCCTTCACTTGCTTTTAAAGAGCAAAAAAATATTTTACATAGTAATTATTATAAGAATATTGAGGATAAAACCTTACTCAATTGCCATTACTACCAGCATCTTCCTTCCCCTGACCTTCTGTGCTGGCACCAGCCTGCCCCCTCATGACTACATCTATTACTCCAAGCTTCTGATTGTCTCCAGTGCCTCCATCCTCTGAAACATAGCTCACTGTCAGCCCATGGATGTGCCTGTCCTGGGGCAGAGGTCCTGCATAGTAGGATTGAGAGCCAGACCTTGGTTCACTGAATTGGAAGAGCTATGTCTGCCAGAGGCACCTTTCTATAGTGGGTACAAAGATGTCAAATGGGCTTACAGGGAGCCTGGTTGCCAAAGTGATCTTTCTAATATATTTGCCCATTTTATCACTCTATATAATGCTCTTCAGTGGATCCAAGATTCTTAGATGGAATAAAACTCCCTGCAACCTAGCTCTGTTTGTCTCACCAGCTTTTTGATGAGGATGACCTTATGATTTACTGTCTAAACCAAAAGACTTCGGAAAGACAAGAGAAACATTAGGAATTACGCTAGGACAATAAACTGTGGCTACCTGGGGACTTATCTGTAATCTGTAACCCACTACTCCATACCTTGGGTCTTTTGCTAGTAGTTTTCCAAGTATACACCTTCTGATTTCCGGATCAGGATGTTTGATAGTTATTTGGTCTACCCTATTGTGAATCTGAGGACATTTTGCCTCCTTTATCTGATTAAAATTTAAAGATAAAATCAAAACATTCTCAGCATTAGAATGTAAGATCATAGTTGAAAAATGTAATTAAAATATCTAAGTAATATTGTGAAATATATATGTATTTGGTCATCACCCCTGTTCCTGTTATAGAACTAAAATCCTTGGAATCTAGGAGATGATAATGTCTTTTGCATGCTAATGAATTGGCTGATGAAGGTTGACAGCCCCTAGGTAGCTTCAGGATGGGGGCTGGTCCCAGGAAGTACCCAGGTGGGATTGATGTAAGGATTTACACTTTGAGCCCCAACTCCAGTCCTTAAAGAGGGCAGAAAGATTAAAGAGTAAGTTGATTATCAGTGGCCAATGACTGATATAAAGAAAAAAAATCTCCATAAACCCTCCAAAAGCTCAGGGTTGGGAGAGCTGCCAAGGAATTCTCTACATGGAGGTTTCTGAGGGTGGTATGCCCAGAGAGGATGTGACCAGTAGATGCCCTTTCCCATGCATCTTACCCTATGCATCTAGTCCTTATTCCCTTGGAGTAGCCTTGGTAGTAAGCTAGCTAATGTGTTTCCTAAGTCCTGTATACCACTTAAGCAACTTAATTGACTCGGAAGAGGGGGTCTGAGAAGCCAGATGGATAGCCAGTTGTCAGAAGCACAGGTAAAATAATCTGGAATTTGAGGCTGGCGTCTGAAGTAGGTAGAGGAACCCTTAACTTTATGGGCTCTAATGCTATTTCCAGGTAAATCGTCTCAAGAGTTGAATTGAATTAGAGGACACCTGGCTGATGTTCACTGCTCTAGAATTGTTTGCTAGCTGTGAAGAGAAATCCCACGCATTATGGGATTACAGAAATCTGCGTTGTTGACTTGCGAGGAGATCAGGGAAAAAATACTTAGTTTTTCCTAGAGAATGTTAATTCTGTGTTTTTCTCTGTTTCAGGTTCTTGATCGTAGTATTTTCTTTTCTTAAAACTTCAGTTCCCTCTTCCATATTTTTCTATCTTTCCATGGTTTATTTGTGTTTATTATTCAAGATACTTCAAAGGACCATTGGTTCTGGCGAACTAACCATGATGCTCCCTGGCGAGGCTCAGTCCCTGTCATCATCTTCCCAAAGCCTCTTGTGCATACTTTTCTTATTGTACCTAAAAAAAAAAAAAAAAAAGTATTACAGTTGCCTACTTAGGCCTGCCTTGCCCTAAAGACTTCAGTCTCCAAGGCAAGACCTCTGTCTTATTCTTCCATCTGAGATTATTAGAAGAGTAATCTTCTTAAATGTAATAAAAGGTCATGAAACTTATTAAATAATAGTATTTAATTTATGTTTCACTTGTAAAAGTCTGTGGTTTAGATATTTTGAGTGAAGGTGAACAATGTTATCTCAACTTTAAGTGTTAATTTGATTAAGTCTAATATATTCTTTTCCATTGGTCTAGCATGTTTCAGGTATTTAAAGAATGGTTCTGGCTGGAAAGATTTTGGCTTCCTACAACAATAAAGTGGTCAGATCTTGAAGATCACAATGGACTCATCTTTGTCAAACCTTCTCATTTGTATATGACAATTCCATTTGCTTTTCTTTTGCTGATCATCAGATATTTCTTCGAAAAGTAAGTAGTACCTATATTTCTTCCCTTCCCATTTCCCTTTGTTGTTACAATTCTAGAATAATAATGTTTTAGATTTTGTGAGGTCCTTACTGGCTCTCTTATTCAGAAGTTGCCATTTGTGGGTTACAGAACTTGGGGGAAAATTGGTTCAACTAAATGCACACAAAACATTAGGTTAGTGGCTGAACATGAAAAAATTAGAACATGAATAGCGGCATGTGCACTAGCTTTACAGTGAAGAGAATGGTGATCAAGACAGGCGAAGGCTCACAGAGCTCATGAGTGTCAGTGACAACATGTGCCCAGTTTACTTCCCTCTACTGTGGTGTCTGACAGCACATCAGCATTCTCAGGAAAACCGAGTTAGAAGAGTTTGACTTAGAGATGTGCTACCCTTCTAGAATGGCTGTAAAATATCTCATTAAAGACCAAACCAAACATTGCTCTATCATATGAATTACTTAAAGGTTTTATTGCTGCCCTTCTTTCTAAAGTGTTAGAAAGTCAAAGAAAAAATATCAGTTTGCTTTCTCAGAAAATAGTAACTGTTCTTTTTCTTAAATTTAAGTAGATATATCTTTCATTGTTTTTATTAAAATTGTATCGGTACTGTGATAATGGGAGATAAATGTTCATCTGTATTTTCTGTAGTTATTTATGTTTCAAAAAACTTATCACATTAATTCATTTGGAGCAAAAAGAGTATTTGAATGTCAAGAGTTGGAAAAACTTAAGACAAACTCTGATAAAAATCATGTTGTCCAGGACTAACTATAGTACAGATGATGTGTTTATAACCATTTTCAGGGTCCTTATCTTGAGAGTTAATATGCCCAACTCTATTCTAGAGGACTTGCCAAAAGGTTTGGGACAAATAACTTCTCTTGGGCCAACAATGTGTTCTTGCTGTTAGGTAGAAAGGAAAGCCCCTAGCTGAGTACATTTGAAAATTTGTTTCCTTTGTGACAGTTAATTCTGCTTTTTACTCATACAGTTGAATTTGTCAAAGAAGACATAAATAAAGTAGAATTTGCCACTGTATGACAAAATTAATGAATTACTCTTTTATTATCTTGAAATACTTTTCTTGTACTGGATCTGGTAATCTTTGAATTTAGCGAGTAGGTTCATTACCTATCCCCATTGTAGAGTTCCTGATTTGGGTGGGCGACTCTGTTCTTCAGAGTTTGGTCAGGAGAGTGAGATAGAATATTATTTTGGTTGCCAAAGCAGCACAGCTGTGGAGGACCAATGTATGATGTGTTGATCGTGACCTTGCCTGTCCTCTTAATTCCTAGAACCATTCTTACCTCTTCATAAAGGAGCAAGTGTAATTTGTATCTTCTATCTTCCTGGAACTTTAACTTTCAGTAATTGTCCCTTACCTTTTCCCATTCTGTGATGCTATAGAAAACTGACCTGTTCTACTAGTCTCATATCTTTTAGCAATAAAAGGAAGGACTATTTAGTATTGGAGAGAAATTATACTTTTTGAAGTATGAGTTTATATTTTTCTAGGGCATCATTTGTAGTAGAATCATTTGTGGTAGATCGAGCTATTCATATCTTAAAATATTACTTATATTTTGCATTTGATCAAAGCTTATATAGTTAGAGAGGTATATACTGTCATAAGTAATGTGTCTTCAATGAGAAAATGAAAAATGAGTGCCCTGACCAGGGTCATAGTTCCATGAAATGAATGAATCTAGGATTTGAACCCATGTATATGACACCAGGTCCAGGGTTATTTGTTTTGGTGTTATGTTTTTCTACTGTATCATTATTCTTGGACTTTCACAGTGAAATATTCCTGATAGAAGAGAGAAAATTAACATTTCGGGGTGAAAACATGTAGCTCAAAGAGATGTTCACAAATATGAAATGTTCTGAACTACCTTAAAATTCACATAAATTTGGCACAATGTTTTAGTGAATTCTATGGTATATTAATCACAAGAAGTCTTCTTTTATGCTAGACTATGCTTGCGCTGCAACGTCTTACTCTATGAAGTGAGCAGGAATTGTGATCGATTGGTTCACTCTTTTTCCTTTAACCCTAGCAAAGAGCCATTTATATGATCAAGAAGCAGTATTCCTAGAAAAATAAGAGTAAGATAGGGATGTAGTTCAGTGGCACAGTGCCTGCCTTGGCATGCACAAGGTCGTGAGTTAGATCCAAGTACAAAAAAAAAAAACCAACAACAGTGGTAAAATAGAACTGACAAGAATCAAAAAGCACGTAATTTGAAAGTGACCTGCATTTGCTTTGTCTTTAGGCTTTCCTTTCCTTGCAGGCTTTAGTTCATGGTTTATAGTTTGATCCTTTTTTAATTGTTTTTGCAAGCCTAACAGTTTCTAGTTAATTTCTCCTCTGTAAATTCTTCTAGGTGTCTGAAGTGAGAGTTAAGGAAAAAGATCTAAACTTCTCTGAAGGTCGACACTTATGACATAAATGAACTATCTCAGTATGAATTATGGCCCCACAAATCAAAGGCAAAAGTGGAGATGACAAAATCAGAAGGTCATCTCTTCCTTTCATTTAATTGTACAAGGACTCCCACCTCTACCATTTCCACTAGCACCGTAAGGTTGTGAAGGGACAGAATGTCCTTCATTCTTCAAAGAAAGCTAGGGGAGGTGGAGGAACTCATCTACAGCGATTTATGGAAATTGGAAAATAATGGCTGTTCCAAATGGAAATAGTCTCAAAGTTAGCATATTATTTTAAGTGTTACCTGAGACTTGCGTTACTCAGATAGCTTATTCTCTTATGTAGAACCTGGTGAACAAGTCTGCTCATGGAGCCTCTGGTCACTTAGGGTTTGAGCCAATCATATGCCCATAGGCTACTGTATCTACTTTGGAGAGATATTTAAATCTGACATTTTTAATAGATGCCTAAGACTGCATTCCTTTTAGTCTGTAAAATAATATTTAAAACAAAAGGGGGTGTAGTCTTCTGATTCCCACGTAGCTGATGTTAACAAAGGAGCTGTCTGGTGACCAGTGGGGCTATCTGAAGGCCTGGTTCTGCGATAGTAGTGAACCTAAGGGACTCACTGTCTAGTAAGTAACCTAACTTTGAACAGTTTACATGGGAGGAGAAGTTTACCAGTCTTTTTTCTTCCTTTTAGACATTTCTTTTTTATTCCATATCAATAAAATCAAAGTTTAGGCAAATTAATCCTTAAAGTCTCTTTAGAAGTAAGACAGTTTTCCTACTTCTTCAGCTCAGTTTATCAAATATTTATTGCATTTCCTCTATTTTCTAAAAACAAATTTTAATTAAGAGCCTATTCATATTTATGTACATTTTTATTAGGTAAAGAGAATGAATGCTTTTCTAGATTTATTTGAAATGGAAGAACAGTTTACATACTTGCTTTGTTCCATTAAAAATTTTTCTATTCTTTTAAAACATTTAAAAAAATTTTTTAATGTTTCTATTCTTGAAGTTAACAGACCACATTTCTTTTTCTTGTTTAATTAGCCATATATATATATATATATATATATATATATAGAGAGAGAGAGAGAGAGAGAGAGAGAGCAAGCATATCAATAAGCATTCTATAGATATATATTTATTCAAATGTATATATTTATCCATGTTACTTATCTTTCAGTGACCCTCTGGGAAGAAATGTTAGATTTCATTTGACTTTTAAATAGGTTTTATTCAATTATTGCATATATGTGATTTAATTCTGCTTTCTTTTTGTATTTTCCCTAATTTCTAGTGTCTGAGGGGATACCATTGAGTGAGTATGACTGAGAATACTGCAGTATGAAAACATTCATTTTGTGCTATTCTAAAAATAAGGGTGTTTTCTGCAATGAAAATTTTTAGCTAGTAGGTTAATATCTATAACCTTGTCACACTTTTTTAGATTTACTTAATGTTGATTATGTCTTAGTTTTTGTGGTGATGTTTTTAGATCTTTTATGCCAAGAATAAATTACTCATATTCTTCAAGTCAAAAAGACACAGCACAGTGGCATTGGTCTGTATAAGAGCTTTTTAGGTTATGTGAATTACTTTCTAAAATTAATTATCTTTTAGCTTCCTTCCTTATTTCTGTTCTCCTCTATACTGTATCCTAACATGCTAGTTGGCCCTTTATTTGTGTGAACCAGAAAAACATTTGCTTTATGTACATGTATTGTTAGTTGACATGAATGGTATGGTGCCAAAACTTAATTTTTTTCTTTTTTTAAGAATAACTATTGTGTTTTATGATATAGCCATATTGCTTTGTGTACATCTGGTGCATAATTAGCTTGTTTTTATGTCTCTGAAATGCTTAGGCTATTTCCAGAGGAACTTATTAGTCCATCTGGAAGTTGGACTGCTTATACCTTTCATGATGTTATCTCAGGGAATTTTCTCCCATGTATATGAAAAAATGAATTAAAGGCCTACATGACCATTTTTAATTTAAATTTCTATAATTAAATGCAGAAACTATTAAGTGCTGGAGCAGACTGGACCTGGCAGAAGTTCAGACTGTCAGAATAAAGAAACAATAGGAACACATCATAACTTTTAAAAATCAACTTTATTTACTTACTGACTTCATACAGTAAAATTCATCAAAAATTCAAAGCATTTAGACAAGTGTACAGACATGCAATCATCATCATAAGTTATCTCCATCAACCTAAACATTTCTTTTGCTCCTTGCTCAGTTAATTCTTCTCCACTTATTGCCTTCTGGCGTCATTGATCTGCTCTGTCACCATAATTGTGTATTTTCTAGGATTTTCTATGGATGCAGTCATACAAATTGTAGTGTTTCACTTAATGTAATGCTTTTGAGAATTTTTTCAGTTAGGGTGTGTATCAGTGTTTCCTTGTTGTTGAGTAGTCTTTCAACATTTGGGTGGACTGTTGCACAATTTATTTATAATTTTAACTAGTTGGTGGAGATTTATGTTGTTTACAGTTTTGAGCTTTTACAAACGAAGCTGCTGTGAACATCTGAGTACAAGGACATATGGACATATGCTTTTGTTTTCCTTCATAATGAGCTAAAATGTTTGCTTTTTAAAAGTCACTCTGAGTGTTTATCCATGTTATAGGGCATTACTTGGCAATAAAAAGGAATGGACTAAGTATAAATACACATTGTAAGATGGATGAACCTCAAAACATTATGCTCAGTGAGATAAACCTCACACAAGTGACCACATACAGTATGGTGATTCTAATTATAGTAAATATCCAGAAAATGCAAAGCCATAAAGACAAAATACATTAGTTTTTGCCTCAGGCAGGTTTGGAAGGAAATAGGTATTAACAGTATATGCCCAAGAGACCACGCTGGGGTGATGGCAGTGTCTAAAACTGATTAATGGTAATAGTTATATCCTGTAGTAAATTTACCAAAAAGTCATTAAATTATATGGTTGAATTATAAAAGATGCCATAATAATTATCTTTTAAATAAAATAAAATTCAAGTCCCAAATTGGGAGAAAATATATGTAAAACATACGTTTTATGAAGGATTTAAATTCAGATTATATGAAGAGCTCTTATAATTCAATAATAAAGAAATACAAAGCATGGTTTTAAATTGAGCAAAAGATGTGAGCATGTACTTCATCAAAGAAAATACGTAAACAGAAAATAAACATGAAAATCTGATCAACTTCATTTGTCATTAGGAAAATGCAAATCAAAATCACAGTGCACTGGGGCGGGCAAGTGACAAAAATGTCAGAAGTAAGAATGTTTCAAAATTCTGTCCTCCTTAAAAGTAACCAGAAGACTGGTCTTCAAAAATTGCCAGAATTAACTTTTTCATAATTAAGAATTGGTTTCAAGCTTGCTGTAATCTGGGGCGTGTTATGTAAGAAAAAATACGCCAAGCCTTGGAAAGAACAGCAAGCTTTGTGGCATTTAAGCTTGCCCTATTACTGTTTTTCTTCTTCACGTCCACAGTAGCCTTGGAAAACTAATAACCCACAAATGCAGTGGGAAGTGTCAGCCTGACAGCTGTGAAGGGACCAGAACAAACTCGAGCTCCTCACTAGAGGGCTGTCTCTGACTGATAGCTCCTCTGAAGTATTGCTGACAAGGCTGTCTTTGACTAGAGCCAGCCCAGAGCTCACACTGTGAATAAGCCTTTTCCCTGGGATGTTAAGGCAGTTGAATAGCTTCACCACTCCTGGAGGCAGTGGATGAAAACTGGATCAAATCATAAGCTTCCAAAAAGCTTAAAATGAAAATCTGGGGAATGAAATATCCAAAGAAGGGCTATTTAAAAAAAAAACCTTCGGCATATTCTTGAAAATCTAGGAGGGCACTTTAATTTGTAAGGATTTAAGCATGTGTAGGGTTATGTGGGTGCTTAGGAAAGGTTTAGGAAGTCCCTAAGCCTTCACTTCCTGGTGACCTTGGTGCTGTACATAGACCAGAAGCGAAAGCTAAGGCAGATGTCTGGGCTGAGGTTAAACCTATGTCCTAACACATACACAAAGCTCTTAAGCAGAGCCTGGGAGACTTGTTTGAGACCAGTGATAGTGAACCATTTAGAGACAAGTGCCCAAATCCTCAAAACCTACTTACTTATTGCAAAGTGCCAACACTGTAGTTAAACCTGAATATTCAGGTTTCAGCTTAGAAAAAACAAATCATACATTAACAAATGTTTAAAAACAACATGGGTAGCTGGGCATGGTGGCTCAGGCCTGTAATTCTAGTACTCAGGAGGCTGAGGTGGGAGGATTATTCTGAATTCGAGACCAGCCTGGGCTACAAAGTGAGCTCAAGGCCAACCTGAACTGCATAGCAAGACCCCATCTCAAAAAGACAAAACAAACCCAACATGGGTTCCATAGCTTTGCCATGACTGTTCTAGGCATTCACAGAAATCTCTGACCAATCATTAATTGATTACTAAACCAGCCTCATAGAATCTTTAGTGCTTACACATGACAAAGAATCCAGACTGTAGTTTAAAAAATAAACTAAACAAATGGACAGTAAATAATAGACAACAACAATCAGTGAGGAGGGAAGACAGTATGGTATCCAGAATTGCCACCTTTCAGTATTTAGCATGTTATTTACCACAGAGTCTTGAGCCATGGAAAAAAAATCCAAGAAATTGTGACCCATACACAAAAGCCCAGCATCTCTGCAAAGCCTTGACTTAACAAAGGCTTTAGCTGTTTTAAATATGTTTAAAGAATTGAAGAAAACCATGCCTTAGTACTAAATAAAGGAATAAAAAAATATCTCCTCAAATCAGCAGTGTCAATAAACTAGTAGCAATTATAAATAATAATGAACAAATAGAAATGACAACTTGAAAAAGTATGGCTGAAATAAAAAATAAGATTGTTAATGGTTTTATATGCTAAATTACATTATTGCTGAGTGTGTAACTTTTCCAAAATAATGTAACTGTTTTGGCTTCGAACAATTTTTTCTACTAATTCAGTTGTATAAAATAATAATCATAAGTTGGTGTTAATTAGAATAGAATACATGGATATAATTTGTATGACAATAAGAGTACATAGAAGGGAAAAAGATGGAAATGTTTTTTTTTTTAAAGGGTGGAGGGTTTTTTTATTTGTTGAAGGCAATTTGGTGTTTTTCCCCCCAGCAACTTATTAACCTGAATAAGAATTTTATAAATTAAGAAGCTAGTTGTAATTCCTGAGTTTACTACTAAGAAAGTAACTTTGAAAATAAAAAAAGACAAGGAATTGAAGTGGCATACTAGTAAATATCATTTTAAATCAATAGAACCTAGTCATAGACTATGAAAAAAGACAAAAGGCAAAGAAATAAGTAGCAATGTGAAAAACAATTCTATTTCATCAGTAATTCCTTTAAATGTAAATGAATTAAACATTCTAATTAAAAGTCACCTATAGAAAGGATTGATAGAGTGATTGAACTGTGTGATGTCTACAGGAGACGTATTTTAGATTCAGAGAAGCATATGGCTGAAAGTAAAAGGCTGGAAAATGATGTAACATTCAGATAACAACCAAAGGAGAGCTGAAAGACTGCATTAATGTCAGACAAGACAGAATTGTCACTAGAGAAAAAAGGCATTTTATAATAATAAAAGAATAAATCTGTCAATTACATATGTCCAAGTAACAACAGAGTCCCAAGTATATAAAATAAAACAAAACTGTATTGAAAGGCGACATCTCAATACTAATAGTTGTGGACTTTAATATTTCATTTTCAACTATGTATGAACATCTATGCAGAAGATCAACAAGAAAATAGAAGATCTGAACAACATTATATGTTCACTAGACCTAGGAGACACCTGTGTCTCTAACTCAGCAGAATGCACATCCAACTTATGTGCATAAACAGCTTTCTCCGTAAGTTATATGTTAGACCCTAAAACAAGTCTTGAATGTAAGAGGATTGAAATCATACAGTGAAATGAAATTGGAAATCATAGGAAAAGTATCAAGGGATAAATAAATATGTAGAAATTGTAATGCACTTTTAAGTAGTCAGTCAGAGAAAAAATCATAAAATAAATGAGGAAATGCTTTGAGATGAATGGAAAAGAAAATTTCATGCCAAAATTTATGGAATGCAGTGGTAGCAGTGCTTGAAAGGAAATTTATAGCACAAATACCTGTATTTAAAAGAAGAAAGGTCTCAAATCAGTAATCTAACCTTCTATCTTAAACTAGAAAAATAAGATCAAAAAAATAAGATCAAACTAAATAGCAGAAGTCAGGAAATAATAAAAGTTACAGTGGAAAATCAACAAAAACTACTACACATTTGTAAGATTGCTAAGACTAGCAATATCAAGTACTGGCAAGAGTATAATCACTTTCTAAAACAACTTTCCAGATTATTAATAAGTCTAAGTGTATACTTCCTATAGCACCCATTAGTTCTATTCCTTGATATTTACATTAGGTTATGCCATTTTTTCATGTTATAACTCGAAATAGAAGCATCCTAATTTCTTTATGATATTACCAAATGTTTTTCTGGTAACATTTTAACTTAATAGTCTGCAATGTTAAAGATGAAATACTGAACATTTAAAATTCTTATTCTAAATCCTAGATCTTGAATATAAATATATTGGAATTATCATAAAATGAATTTTAGAATCCATGTGGGTGTTTTATTGTATTGTTTAAAGTTACTGCTTATATATAAAGTCTGCAAATGTGCTCTCCTTGGAACTTTTGAGAGGCAGATAGAAAGGCAGAGGCTGTAGTTAACTACAGTGACAATGTGCATTGATCAGCTTCTTGTTGCTGTCATGAAATAGCCAAGGCTTATAAGGAAATTAATAAATCAAAAGATTAATTTTGGCTCCAGTCCAAGAACTAATGGCCCTTTACTTTCAGCCTCTAGCTAGGGCATAACATCACAGCAGAAACCATGCATGGAGAAGGACTGCTCACTTCATGAGTCAGGAAGCAGAAGGCCACATTCCTAGTGACCTAAGAACCTTTTGCACAGCCCCAGCTCTTAAAGGTCCCCAGCAATTTCCAATAGCATCCTCCTGGGAAACCAGTCTTTTAACTCTTGGATTTTGGGGGAACATTCAGCATGATGCAACCAAATGATTGGCTTTTTGCTATACACCTAAAGTTGCAGATCAAGTTTTCTGTGATCATTATGGGTTCATTCACAGATTTTGAACTTACTTTCTTTTCATATTTTTGTAGGTATATTGCTATTCCTGTAGCAAAACTGCTTGGCATTCAAAAACCAGTTCAAAAAATTATACCAAATACCGTATTAGAGAATTTTTTCAAGAACTCCACAAGGCCATTGCAAGTAAGTTCCAAGTCTTTGCTTGTGTATTTACAGGTGTCCTTTTTGATTCAGTCATCCATGGTTTACTTTGTGCAAGAAATATCTTCCAGTGCCCAGCAAAAGATTTGATTCATTTGGATTTATTTCTTTGCTCTGTTGATAGGTTATATATGTAGTATCCCAAGCATAATATCAAATTACAAATACATAATATAAAGTAACAGATGTTAATAAATGTTCAACAGTAGTGCTGAAAATTGACAATGCCATGATTTGGGTATAAGGACCACAATTGAATATTCAATGGTAGGTTTATTTTTTAGTGGTCACAGGGAGAATGGATCAAGAAACACGATCCATCAAGATACTGTATACAAAAAAACACATTTAACTCTAAAGAAATTCATAGACTGAAAATTAAAGGAGAGTAAACAATTGTTTCATACAACTGGAGTCCAGAAAAAAGCAAGGGTAACTTGTCCTTCAGCTACAGAATAGATAAGAAAGATATGGTATTTTCATACAATGGAAAACTACTCAACTATAAAGTAGGATAATCTTGACATTCGTGTAGGTAAATGGATGAAAATGGAGATCATGCTCATTGGTGAAGTGATTTGGACTCACATAAGTCATAGAGTTATCTCCATATCATAAAAAACTAAAGGAGATAATGGCATCCAAAAAGCACAATACATGTGAAAGTGATAGAGCAGGAAATGCCTAAAAAGGGAAAGTGGTAACCACTATTAATTTTCTATTATCTTGTTTTAAATTCTTGTATAATTTTCATAATTTTTTTAGACTTGGTTTTATTCTGTCTCATTTTGTTAGATTTTATTGTGTCTGATGCTATGGGCAGCTATTTGGAAGATAACAGAATGTATTATGGTAACCATTGTTGATTTCCTGTTATCTTGTTTCATTGTTTTGTTTTGATTGGTTTTATTCTGTTTGATTTTATTTTGTGTGATAATATTTTGAAGAAAATGAAAGACATGGTAGCCGTTGTTGATTTCCTGTTGTCTTATTTTGAAGTCTATATTGCTTGCATTGTTCTATTCTGATTTGCTTTATTCTGTTTCATTTTGTTTGATTTTATTCTCTTTAAAATTAAACAATTTTAATGGTAATATATTCAAAGTGTAGTGATGAATAAAGGTACTCATTAGCACAAAGAAGCCCTTATGTGACACTTCTGATGATTGTGGCACCATCAAAACACATCACACACATAATGAAACTCTTTATGAGTTGATTTCATAAGGAGCACTCTTATTTTATACAAGGACTCAGTATACTCAAAAAACATACTGTGCCTCTGATTATACTTCAGAAATTAAAAGTTTCAAGATAGAGTTCTCTTTCCAATAAAGTGTCCTTTTAAACCTGTTTCCCATTTAGGGAAAAAAGAGTTCATCTCTTAGCTTGTAATTTTCAGTGATCCAGAGTAACTATATTTTGTAAGTGAAAATATCCCTATTAAAAACAGAATGCTGCAAATGGGATGATGTCTTTTGTTTTGAAAGACTAGAGTAAGTGAAAGTAATAGTAAAAGTAAGCCATGTTATGGCAGACTTGAGAGTGAGGTTAGGACTGCAATCTGAGTGTTATCTCTGGGTAGATGCTGCAGCCACGAGTGCCTCCAGTGAGTATTTGGGGGGCAAATGGATTAACAGTTGTAGCACATTACATGTTTACAGCTCACCAAAAAAATCTTTAACTAATAGGTGCAAAAAATAATGTCCATGGCTAGATTATTATTGTTGTTGTTGTTATTTTGGTACTGTTGGATTGAGATCACGATCTTGCGCTTACCAGACGAGAGCTTGAGCCTCTGAGCTAAATCTTGGCCCCAGGACTAGGTTTGGCTCCAGCTTTATTATATGTCCATAGTTAAGATGACAGATGAAATGAAACTATTCCAAAAAATGACATATCTTCTTTGAGGAATGCTTTCTGATATCACCAATCATTTTGAAAATAAAAAGTATACGCTTATACCATTTCGGGATAGGTAAATTCTTTGAGGGTCCTCCATTTTTTCACTGAGATTTGGCTCCAGCTATTATGGTTATTGTCTTCATTGTTCTGGTGAGCTTCCTGCGTTCAAAGGTGTGTTGAGGTTTGACCAAACTGAAGCATAGAATGCAAGCAGCAGCTGTCTCTCACTCGTTCTATCCTTAGCTGCAGCCCAGAGATCACAGCTTCTAGGATGGTGGCAATCTGAAAAGCTGTGTTCCCATATTTTTGGTTTCCATGTGCTCCAAATGGCTATAGCGATTCATCTGAGTACTTTTGCTGTCATGGATGATAATAATATCTAAATACCATTTTATAGCTTCCAAGGGAAGTTAATTAGCCATGTTTGTGAAAGTTTGTGCTCTTTCAGCAGTTCTTATTCTCCTCATCTGTTTCTCCTTGGGAATAATTGTCTTTAGTGACAGCTTATATAAAATGTGAACAGTATTGCGCCTGCTGTTTACTTGCTGTACTTGATATGTATTACCAAGAATTCCATTAGGTTTTATAAGATATTTAAGGTAATCTAGAAAATTTAGTCCTTGTCAGTTTCCTGCTTTGGAGAGAAAATAGTCAGTGACGGTTAAAAGAAAGCCGATATCACCTAGAAGAGATTTAAAGAGCAGGAAATCTTTATGATTGAGATGAGGCAGCAGGGGCAATGAGTGGGCCTGCAGTAAAGAGTGGCTAAGTCAAAAACTGGAACCTCACACACACTCCTAGAAGACTCTCTCCTCCTACCCAGTCCTCTGTAAATGGCAAGCTGAAAAATTTATTTCAAAGCCTGGAGCTATGTATGTAGTCATTTTTCCAACTCAACTGACAATAGTCTTACTTAATGTAGGCATACTTTGGATCTTTCATCAAGTAAAAGAAAAAAGTAATATCACCCCAAATGTGTTAAAAGCTTCATTTATTAAACAAGAAGCTAAAGGAAAATAATTCAGATCCCTACTTTATATTGCTCTGAGATTCCAAATTTGAGACAGTTTGTATAGCAAATAAAAATAAGAAGTGAAATACAAATTGCTTGAAAGTTTCATAACCCAGAAAGATAGAATATAATATAGGAAGCAAAGTTTATAACTTAATAATAACTTCAGCAACAAACCAATCTCACAATACCCACATGCATTAATTTGGCCAGTGTTTACTCATGACATTTATCATAGTTTATGGCTGAGATAATAAGAAAAGTTGCTGGTGATTCAAAATATGGGTATTACAATTGCAAATATATTACAAATCTAGAACTGTAGAACAATGTATTAATAATATATGTAGATGACACTTTGATTTAAAAAATTGACTATAGGAACTCAAAAAATGCTCTTCTACTGTTGTAGGTTGCAACAATAAAAGCAAATCATTTCCATGTACACAGTATCTGTTCTGGGCTGGTTAGTCCAGAAAGGCATAGCATGGAATTGATGTGGCCCAAAATAGCATACATCTTAACCTGCAATGAGAGTTTGGTCCGTGTTGTAGTCAGGCGTTGTGCAGAGAACAATTAGAATCAGAACATGGAGTTTATATTATTTTTATAATGGTCCCTGGGAGTTAACACAAGAAAATGCAGGAAATCTATCCGCAACACCAAAAACGTAGAATATTTAGTCAAGGGCCTAAATCCCACAGCGATGTCCCACATGAGTCCAGATGAAAACTCAGAGCTCATGACAATACCTCCCACGAGTTCAACTGGAGATCCTGAGCCCACAAGAAGGATTCATGCCAGTCTCTTTTACGGATCCGTGCCAGGAAGCCCAAAGGTCAGCAGTGGAAGCCAGAAAGTCCATGCCAGCAGGGTGATGGAGCTGTGCTGGTAGGATGAGGGTTCTATGCTGGAGCCGCAATGTCACACTCACAACAAAGACCAGGGCTGTCCTGAAAGGCACCACAACCATCCTCAGTGACACAGAGGCCTTGAGCTCCTCTGACAACAAGCACAGTCGAGTACATGCCAGGAAGCCAACGTAACGAGTTCATCCTGGAGACCAAGTGGCACATGTCTTGCCCTCCAGGACCAGGAAGCAATTCTCGATGTGAGGACAAGAGTTTCTCCAGGAGAACCAACGGCTCAAACAGCAACTTGTGGGAGAACCCACAATGCCTCAAGGCCTCAACGCAACAATACATTAAGGCCTTCCTTCTCCTTCTCCACCTCTTTATTTATGCTGGCAACTTTCCTCAGGTGGAGCATCTATGCTCAGTGCCGTGCTGATATAATCCAGCTGGCATTAAGTTGACCACCACTTCCTAACCCATAACAGTCTGTGACTTTGCACAGTTGTCTTGTGATTACTTACGTACTGCTGTGTGGCTACTACGTATACTTCAAGATACTTCAGGAGTAAGCTGCGGAACAGACCAACAGCTGTGGCCAGCAGATCTATTATTCTGCCGTTGATCGAATGCAGTAATGGTAGAATTGATTGTCTGGGCCAGTGGTGGCAAACCTATGGCACATTTGCTGCAGCTGGCTGTTTGTTTTCATTGAGAACTCACAAAAGTTTTGTCATCACTGGTCTAACCCTTTTCCTCAGCCAGAGCATGATGAAAATTAATCCAAAACAAGTAAGTACTGAAAAAGAGCTAAAGAAAATGTGACACTTAAAGAGTGACCTAAAGCCAATTCTTACGAGCATTCTAGTTGGTTAGATTAAGTCATCCAGGAATTTAGAGCACACATGTATGTCATCTAGTATAGTTTATCTTACAGGTGTACACGTGAGCATCCAACAGGCTGGCTTCTGTGAATAGTTGCCAATTCAAAATCTCAAGAAACAAATCAAATAATAGGCTAACCATTGGCCTATAAAAGAGCAGATTTTTGAGAAGATGCTTTACAGGGAAACAGAATAATAGAAGTTACGTCCTGCTTTTTTCTTTCCTTCAAATTAAGTATTAGGCAAGTAGTTTCATAGGGATTTCACAGTTGAAATTAGTCTTCTGCGAGTCTTCAGCCTGGTGGCTTCTTATGCCTTTATCTGCTGTTGTCCTGTGCCCTTGATGACTCCATGAACCATAGAAAGGATGTAGCAGAAGTTATCTGACTGGTCACAAGCTGTAGGGTATCCAGCCCTCAGGCCCATTGGGGAGCTTTGTTTGATGATTACCATGCTGATTTATAGTGGCTTAAGTTTACCTTGAGGTACATGATTTCACATTAGAATCCTAGGGCTGCACTTGCACTCTGGAAACATCAGACCGAGATTGGTCAGAGTTGGCCCTTTGGAATGAGATACACACTTTTCTGTTGCAGAATCTGTATAGCTCCCACTGAGTCAGTTTTATGTAATGTTATGTTTTCATAGACTTAAGAGACTATTGAAATTTTTCTCATGCTCACATTAGAAAATGAAAGATCAAGAGATTAATGTAATTTCAAAAAAATTCAGAGCATATTACTTTGTGGAAGTAAGGTATTACCATAGGTTCAATGTACAAAACTTGTCTGTGTCAACATCCCACTTTAAGACAGACCAGGTCTGCTTGGTCATTTATCCTTTGTGTCTGGTCCTAGTAACCCTTTGAGGTTGTAAGTTGGAGTTAATTCATCATCTATAATATTTACAACTTAAAATCATATTCTATAACCCCTTCCCAGAAGAGAAGCAACATCATTGTCATATTTTGCAATTATTATTTTAATTATTTATTTCAGATTAGTTTGAAATAGACTGTATATCACATTTAATGTGAAATTGCGTAGCCAATATCTGTTTGAGTTTTTCTTGAATTATCTTCTGGAGTAATTAAAGATAATTGGAAATAGCAGAAAGCACCCTAGCCTAAACTTTTGTCTTAATTTTAGGTCCTAGCCAAGACAATAACATTCTTAGGGGTTCAATTTCTGTATAGCAAAGATTTGGTTGGATTTGATTGACATTTTAAACTATATTACTGTTAAATAAATTTAAGCTAATTGAGTAAGCTTATATATGCAGTTTGAACACGTGTGTTGCTATCAACACATGGGGAATTGAAATTACTCAGTAACCCAGAGAGCTTACTAATATTTTCTCTGCTGTTTGTTTGTTTGTTTACTTCATTTTTGGAACGTGTGTGTGTGTGTGTGTGTGTGTGTGTGTGTGTATCTATGTAAATGATTCTGTGAGCAAAAGAAAGAAATTCTTTGGCTTAAGGTCTCAGGGCAGAATCTTTCTCATTCCTGTTACACAAACTATTGGAACCCCATCTCACTAGGTCTTCACTGCTAGGACATCTAAGTCTGCTCTTTATCATTTACTTATTTGAATCTTTTTTTTTCAGAGTGATATTTATGGACTGGCAAAGAAATGTAACTTAACAGAGCGCCAAGTTGAAAGATGGTTTCGAAGGCGGCGGAATCAAGAGAGGCCTTGCAGGTTGAAGAAATTCCAGGAAGCTTGGTAAGAAGGAGTATCAAAGCTTTTAGGGTGCTGCAGTTTCATCTACCAGGGGTGGAAGGGAATTCTGATACTGGAGTGCTGAAGGGGTTCAAAGCCTGCTCATCGTTTCCCTCAGGGTGTTTCAGGCTTAACATTCTGTGTTCCTGATCTCTTCTCTATGAAATAGGCCAATTCTGAATTCTCTTAGGATGAGCAGGAGACATCATGTACTTAGCCTGAAGACCTGAAAAATCATAAGCATGTCCTAACTAATGTTTGTCTTTTTACCATTTTATTTCAGCTGTCTCCAGTCATTTTGATTATAAGAACAGAGGTTGTGAGTTCTCAGCCCGGAATGACTAGAGTGTCTCTTTCTGTCTGATTTGGCTCACCAGCCCTGGTTTTGCCTGAAGGTTGCATAGATTGTGCTTCTCAAGTCCCATTTGGCTTAGGTTGGGGGTCAGAATGGGCTATGGCCTCCAGCAGTCTACCATAAAGGCTATCTTGGATATAGTCTGGAGCCAGAGAGGGTCCATTGGGTCTATTTTGAGTTTCATTTGAATTCTGCTTTTTCCCCTCCAGCCTGTAAGACAGTAGCATTTTGGATCATGCTTTGATGACACTGACCTCTGTGCAGAACAGGGGGATGAGGTCATTGTTCTTTTTTAATTTCACTCCAGATGAAAAGGTATTAGTGCATTGTGTCTGATGCCATTCTACACACAAATGTATCCTTTCTGTCTGTTTCTTAAGTTGCTCACATTCCCTAGTGACTTCCACCAGGTACTTTTGTTTTGATGGTGGAATGAATGACTGTCTAAAGGAAGACTCAAACAATTAGAGCCTGTAGTTCAACTTCAATGACTACCTTTGCTTTTCCTGTACCTTCCTGAGGACTGTAATCCAGCTGCAGTGCTGTGAGGCTGGCCTAAGTGTACAGAGAAAGACCAGTTCTTCAGGTTGTCTCAAAAACACCTAATTTCTCATCACAGGCCTCCTTCCACGGCCTTCCTACAGTGGCTCAGCATGTATGTCTTTACTTATTACCTGCTTCTCTCTAATTTTTAGCTCTTGAAAGACAGGTTAATACTATGTTGCTATCCATGTCAGCTTGGTACGAAGGTATCTAAAATATCAAAGTGGGGCTGATCTCACATTACAGCCTCCTTTTTCTCAAATGACATTAATTCATTCTTGCTAACAAAGGTTTCTTATCTTAAAGTCTCCAAACAAGGACTGATTCTCTGTCTCTGAGCTGAATCATACCCCACTGCATTTCTCTGGCAGTTTCTTGTGCACTGGAGTGACTCACAGTTTTAAACATGTAGTTAGTCCTCCCAAAGGGTAAGGCATCAGGGAATGTTTAAGAAACAAGAAACCATAAATTTATGTAGTTTAAGGATCTACCTTCAGGTCACTTAGCTGTTTGAGGACATATTGCACCCAGGTCTTCTGGCTCCTGTTGTGATGCCCTTTTAACTCATCATTCTGCCCTGCTATCTACTACCTTACTCTCAGCAAGCAGAGCATCTCCTCTGTGAGGTAGCCGTGGGGATCAGGCCGTGTCAGTGAGTCTACTCAGTGGTCACTGAGCTTAGAATTCACACCACAGAAGACAATTTCAAGTTATGCTAACCACACAGTCTAGCAATACAGAAGTTCATGTTGAGTATCAGTATGTATCACTGTGCATGGAGATTGACTTTAAAGGGAAATAAGTGTACAAGGCTTAGTTACTACCCTCAAACAGCTGACTGGGGAGACCACTCTATTACACATGAAGCCATAGCATCTGTGGTTATTACAGCCCAGTTGCCTTGGATCAGCAGAACATGATTGTGTTTAGATGTACAATATGACTTCTTAGGAAATAGACAAGCAGGGCTTGAGAGTTAGAGAAAGGCTTTTCAGAGGAAACAAAATACTAGCTGGACCTAGAGGAACTGGTCAGCTTTTCATAGGAAAAGAAGTAGCATTTGAGGGTGGCATTTCGATGTAAAGCAAAGATGCAGAGCAGGAAGGACATTGTGCAATATATTCAAGAATTAGAAAGAGGGCCCACAAGTAGAATTTAAGTTTTGTTTTTTTAGTTAGCCATGTTAACAAATTTCTTCTAAGTCAAGTAACTATTAAAAGTTATTATGGCCTGTATAAACAGACTAAGCAAAATGCCAAGCTATTTTATTGTAAACAAGTATGCTTTATTCTGTTCATCTGTGGGGCATGTCTGAGAAATCATAGCTCACAGCACATTTTGGAGGCATTTTGGAGACCTTAGGAAACTGATTTCCTAACACCAGCCTCTTAAGAGTTACTCTCCAGCAGGCAAAAAGTCCTGTTGGAGATATTTAGAATATCCAGAATATATAGAGGGCAGTTGCTGGGCTTCCTGAACTCAGTATATTGTTTCTTGGTTACTTTCTTTAATGGTGAACCCTTTGCTATGTCTCACAGCATTTAGAATTTCAGCCTGTGACAAGTCCTTTAGGTAAAAAAAAAAATCAAATTCCATATTAGATGGCTACCTTTCTTTGTAAAATAAGCATTTATGTCTTGCAAGAGAGAGAGTTCGTTTTCAAAGGGGAAGGGAATCAAGATGTAGAGGGTGGGAGAGGGAAGGAAGGGATAAAGAATTTAAAAAAAGACAAAGGAATTGGGATGTGTCATGTACCAGTACCAGTGGCACACAAGGGATGTAAAACTTACATATTATAAAATGTAATGTGTAAAGGAAAAAAAAGGAAGGTAGCCAAGAGATGGTTGCAGTGGGGAGAAAGGGAAGGAAGGAGGGTGAAAACAGGAATTAAAAGGTGTTATGAACGTCTATCAACTCCACACAAGGGATGTAAGCAATATGTACTGCACACATGTATTAATAAACTAAAATTTTTAAAAATTTATTGTCAAAAAAAATAGAAGAAGAAAAAGAAATCCCTCCTAAGTGCCTAAGATGTGTAGGGAGAACTCCCCAGTGTGGAAACGAGGCTCTGCTTGGCTGAGTGGCCTGAGCCTGGCCTCAACTGATACCAAGTGATAGATCCAATGGATATATTTTAGGCTCTGTGTATGACAAGAAAGAATTGCAAGTGTATACTCAATGGTAAAAGAAAAAGATCTGAATTTATTGACGATAACACCATAATATGTATGACTGTCCTGGAGTTCATTCTGATTGAATTACACACATGAGATCCAGTTCATATTTTTAAACTTTTACAAGGTTTGAGGGAGTTACTGAAGGTTCAACCATAAGATCTAACTAAATATGCTCTGGCCTGAAGCTTTAGAGATTTTCTGGGTCTTTGTTATTTTATTTTTGATTTTGTTTGAATAAGGGAAGGAGCATTGGGTTTTGCCCAAATTCAGGTGGGTGGAGAGGGAGTGTTTTTCTAGCCCTAGCCCACAGGTGCACTGCTACTGCATTCTGCTTTTCTATGATGGACCCATCTGTGATCCTACCAGCTTCTGTCTGCATTGGCCAATGTTTACTCTTCCCAGTTCCTTCCCAGTCTCACCCTGAACCCCTATCTTGTGCTATTTGCCCATGATAGATTCTCCTAGCTTGGGGCTTAGCTGTCTGTAACACGACATTCGCCCAATTTGGTATCAGACCCAGAGAAGCAACTTATCTCTCCAAGAGTAATTTCTACCTTCTGCTTCTTATTCCAGAGATAAACTTAATCCCTGTGAACTGAGCCTTCTCCAATCTCAGCACTCTACAACCACCCAAGCACTCCACCCCCAGCCCCCAGCAAACATTTCTGTTTCCTGTTTTGCACAGGCAGATGCTCCTTCAAATCAGCTGTTAATGTGCCATTTTCCCCACCTCCCAAGCTTCTCCCCCAGCCAGACCTGATAAAAGTAATTTCCCCCGTCTTTGTTCTACTGAGAGCATTTGTATTTCTTTGTAACTTTCCCATGCCCACATTAAAGGCCTTTCTACTCTTTGTCTCCCATTATTCCTTTAGCACCACCTCAGATTGTGTGTGAAAAATACTGAATCAGCCTAATGAATCCATTTCTTAATTTTTTTCAACTCCCTTCCCCACATTTATGTTTATTTCAACCTTTCCTGGGGGTAAAAAGGAAGTTTTACTATCTAAGGTTCATTTGATGAAAAGAAAATAGTACTGATAAATACAGTACCTGATCATTCCTCTTAATCAGTGAAATGCAGCTCTCAGACATTTTGAACTCAGGAGCCTCTGTACTCTTACAAACTCTTGAATATCCCCTAGAACTTTATTATTGATAGTTACTGTATTAGGTATTGAATCTGAGACATTTATAAAACATGGGATGCTTTGAACACACTTTTCATTATGCACTTTCTTTAGAGCAATGACACAATCGTGTCACTTTGTAACAGAAAATGGCCCCCACCCCCAGCCAGTTTCTCAGTTGCCCAGGTAGTAGTTCCTGTTCCTGCTCCACCTGTCTCTGGTCTCTTAGACATGGCTGGTCACTGTGATGCATAGCTGGTCACAATGATGCACATTGTGTAAACCAATTCCCAACTGACAAGCCATTTTGCCTCTGTACTTCCTGCTTGCTTATCCCATATAAGAGTCCTAGATCACTAGAGATCAGGACCTGAAATTGCCTCCAAATCCTGGGTGTCATCTTGGTGTTTCTGCTTGCTGTTGCCATGTGACCTCTGCAAGTTGCTACTGCGTGCTTGTGACAGAATGCAAGGGGAAAGTAAGTAATGTTTTGCTGCTATTCTAAAAACCTTCTGAGCTCGGGAATCCCTGGAACATTCTTTGAGAACCACTGATGTAGTATAATGAATGCTGAATTGGTCTGGTGCAGAAAAATGTAAAACGTGTTATACTCTTGCATCGGATTATGCTCTATGACCTTATGTGAGCTATGTGATCTCTCCATGTGCCAGTGTTCTTTAGTATTTATCTTACCTAGTTTGTGAGAATTAGACAACAGACTGTAAGAAAGGATAATTTTACTATTAACTTTATAATGTTTGTTAAATGTGTTAAAATCTTGATAAAAATGTGATAACA